TTGTGGACCACTAGGGACACACATCCCTGTGCAGGTGAACAGGCAGGGGAAGTTGGAGGCTGCACCACTCTCTCTTGTCCAATCAGGTGTGCTACACATGTGTCATATCCAGGTTTGGGTTAACAAGCACAATAGAAGGCAACAGGTGAGAAGAGTTTGCATACATTGGGATGTGATAGTTACTGAAGGAACAACCCTGTGCAGGTCTTGGTAGACACCAATCAGAATAGCACTGTCATTGTTCGAGACTGGCAGGGTGATTTTCCCCTCACCAAATCACCATATGCCATCCAGAGCAGAACAACACTCCCTCTCTGCCTGCCTGAAAATCTGGATCCTGCAGTGGAGGTCAAGGTTCATATTGTGTCGGATCTCGTTGTTTGCTACAGAGACTCCTGTGCTCAGAGCTGTGTGCATTCAAGTTCTCTCTATGAACATGCAGGCACAGCTGATATGCAAGTCATTCTAGAGTGAGATGCTGGCTCAATAATGAGCCCAGAGATGGAACTTCAGGCAAAATTCTTTCATGGAAGAATGTGCACATCATCCTGATGTTCAACAACTGCAGTTGATAATCCTTGATGGAAAATGGCACATACCAGTACCCCTTTGACCTGTCAAAATGTACTTCGTGGACACCCAATCCAACCCAACCCCAGTGTCATCTCTGTTGGCCATCAGGGGGTAGTAGGTTGGGATGGCTTCAGGTTCTCTCTGGGTGGAGGTGGTGAGGCTTGACTCTTTGGCCATGCTCAATTGGGTAGAACACTGACAAGTTGCTGACAGCTCCTGGTTAGCAGTCCCTGCTGCGGAGTAACTTGTTGGTGACCCAACCACTGGGACATTCACTGTCAAGACCTATGGGATCAGTGAGAACAAGCCCACACACAGAGAGATTCAAAGTGGGGACATTCTCACTATCCACAGCAGGAAAGGGCAGGCACATGACAGCATAATCAGGGAATGTGAAGTCTTTGGGCTGGGAGACCTAATCACAGCAGGCAAGAAACAACACTTTTCATGGGTGCTGGAGGGGAATCTCTGGGACAAATCTAACTTGCAATAAATGGTGTGCATGTGAAGGTGCAAGATCTGTCTCTGGGGCTGGTGTTTTGCATTCTGCAACTCATAAATAGCAATCCCCATTTAATGGCTCTGATGTGTGTCAACCTGACACACTGTGCAGTGCTAGAAATAGTTTGGGACTTACAGAACATTTGTGGAATCTTTTTCTTCTTCTGATGGTGTTGATTGTGTCAGTGTTCTTATACCTGCTCATGTGCATTGTGAACAATCTGTATTCACCATAAATTTGTCATGCATTATTCCTTATCTTTCTGCAGAGTCATGTAACTCTGTACTATCTGATTGTACCTCCAGTACACTCATACATGACAGACTACTTACTACATGCCTCCTATGGCTCTCCAACTCACTCTCAATGCTGCTCAGCCAGGGTTCTGACCTTCCTTCCCCAGTGGCAGGTTTGCATTGCTGTAAATGCAAGTTCCCATTAGCTGGTTACTGCAGTATATGGCCTGGCAAACAGAGTACTTAGCCTGCTCAAAGACATGCAGGACAACACCTCCTTTGACTTGGCAATATCATGTGCACATATATATGCAGGTCATTATCTCCATGACTCTGACAATAATTTTCAGTGTTTGAACAAACTGCACTATATATGGTTATAACAAGCTTTTAATATGATGTGATAGCTTCTAGGCTTGCTGGAAGGTACAGCTTCCAGGGAAATAGCTACTCTCATCAACAAAACTGTCAGTTAATCAGTTAATGCACCTTAAGAGTAGTCAAGTTAAAGAACATTGTATGCAGTCATTGCATCAACTGATCACCAAAGGTAACCAGATGTGTTTCTAGGTAAAAGCAACCACATCACATACATTCTGCATATCTCATGCAAGTTTGCTCCTCCCCATGGCACTGAATGATTGCTCTGTCTTTCTTATTTGCTGACTCATCCACCAAATATGCACCCACCACAACTACTTCCTCAACATCTGGCATGAAAAATGCCTATGATTCCATGCAGTCCAGAGCTAGAAAGAGTTGTGGCTCAAAATGAAACTCATGGGAAGGCAAGCTGAGGCTGGGAACTGGGGGGAGTCTGATGGCACTGCATACCTATGCATTGAGTCTACTCTTTGTAGTGAAATTTCTTGCTTAACCATAGTCCAGATGGGATCTGCTGCTGCCTTGCTGGATCATCTTGTTTGCCTCTGAGCAATGGAAGGTGACCTCAAGAATGAAGGGGTAAACACCCCTTGATATTATGGATACTCAGTGCTTGTTAGGGCAACACAGGCTGACTAAGTCTGCTCACCTAAGAGTGCCAAGAGTCTAAGCAGGCAACAAGGAAGTGGAGTAGACCTGATGACTAAGACCTATCTACAGTATAGGTACCTGTGGATGATCCTAAGAGACCAAGTCTGAAGAGACAGTCCCCAGGCAGAGTAGGCCTTATATTTATACCTCTGTGGTGGAACCTGCCAGAACATCTTGCTTACTCAGCCTAGTCAGGTGATCAGGTCATATGACCAAGGATGAGGTCATATGAGGTCATGCACAGCCATGCACAGCAGGTCACCTGACCATCCAATCCTTCCAGCAGGTTCCAGCACATGCCAAGGTATACCAGCTACTTCCATGTCATAAAAGCTTAGT